ACACAGACCTCAACAACTATGGGTAGAAAAGAAAATGATTCAGAGAAATAAAATTTAATGGCAAAACATTTTAGGAGTGTAGTAACTAATATATTTCACTTGTATTTTCCATATATGTTCAAAGAAATAATAATAACAACTGAGTAAATCTAAAAGACTTTTTTGCTTTATTCAAGGAGTTTTATTATTGAGATATAATATTTTACTGAAAGAAAACATGTGACATGAAAAAAATAGCCAGAACCAAGAGACAACCCAAAGAATGGGAGAAAATCTTCACCAGCTACTCAACAGATCAAGGATTCATTTCAAGAATATATAAAGAGCTCAAAAAATTAAACAGCAAAAGAGCAATTAATAATTGAAAAAATTTGATTTGAACAGATAATTTTCAGAAGAATAAATACAAATGGCTAGTAAATACACGAAGAAATGGTCAACATCCTTAACAATCCTTGCAATCATCAAGAAAACAAACAGTAACAAGTTGAGAATGCAAGGAGGCACTCCTTAAAAAATGTTAGTGGGAATGTAAATTATTAGTACAAACACTATGGGTATCAATACACAAGCTCCAAAGTACAGATTAAACCACAGCAACTGTTCATACTGATCTTGCCTCCAGTACTGGAGCTTGAACAAAGGACCTCACATTCTCACATGACTTTTTGCCCCAAGTCTGTCACTATTGGTTATTGTTGGCTTATGTCTATAAATTTAGCTACTCAGGAAGCTGAGATCTGAGGATCATGGTTCATAGCCAGTCCAAGCAGACAAATCTATGGGATCCTTATCTCCAATTAGCCGGCAAATAGCCAGAAATGGAGGTATGGTTCAAGTGGTAGAGTGCCAGTCTTGGGAGGCAGAGATAAGGACAAGAGTTCAAGGCAAGCCATGGCACAAAAATTTTCAAGACCTCATCTCAACCAATGGGTGGGCTTAGGGGCATGCCTATTCTCCCAGCTATAGAAGTACAATGGTTGGGCACGGTGACACAAACCTGTTATCCCAGTGAAATGGGGTAATACAAGTAGGAGGAGAGTAGCTTAGACCTTCCCAGATGGAAAGTGAGACCCTATCTCAAAAACAGTCAACACAGAGAAACACTGGAGGTGTGGCTCAAATGGTAGTAAACCTACCTAGCAAACAGGAAGCCCTGAGTTCAATATCTAATACCACCAAAAAAAAAAGTACAGGAGGACATGGTAAATATGTTCAAAGTATATTGTGTATATGTATGGAATATCACAATGAAACTCCCTTATATTAATTACACTACTTCAAAAACAAAATTACAGAAATAAAGCACTGTGTAATAGTTTAATAGAATGGATGGTGCTATATTTTTTCTTCCCTTTTTAACGAACATGAGCTGAACACAAGCTAAAGGAGCAGATTCAATGATTAAACACAAGGACTACTCTTCCTCAAAAGAGTTTTTAAAAATCTCAGGTACCACTGGCTCATGCCTATAATCCTAGCTATCCAGGAGGGTGAGATCTGAGGATTGTGGTTCAAAGCCAGCCCAGCAGTAGAGTCCATGAGACTCTCACCTCCAACTAATTGCCAAAAGGCTAGAAGTAGACCTATGGCTCAAGTGGTAGACCACTAGCTTTGAGGAAAAAAAAAAAAGCTCAGAAAAAACACCTAGGCTCTGAGTTCAAGCCTCAGAACCAGCACTCACACACTCTCTCTTTCTCTTTCTCTCTCTCTCTCTCTCTCTCTCTCTCACACACACACACAAATCTCAAGTCAATTAGGCTATCACAGCCTCCTATAATCAAAAAAAATTTTAATGTAATGCTAAAGAAGCCAGAACCTAATTTTCAGGGTTATGACAATAAAACAGTGAAATGCCAAATATTCAACAACACTGCATAGGTTATGACTCAAGTGGTAGGATGTTTACCTAGCAAGCATAAGGCCCTGAGTGCCATCAGGGCCTATAAAATGCAGATATTTGGTAAAATTATAGACTTATAAAGCATATAAAAAGAATTTTGCACCTTATGGTCCCAACACCAAGTCATTTTTATACATATAAAAAGATTATTGTTTTTTCTTTCTATATTATTATAACAATATATTTCATACGAGAACAATTTACCTAACAGTTGTACATGCTGCAAATTTTACTTATGTAATGTCAAAATAATTTTGAAAAGTAGTTGAAAGAACCAAAAATAAAGCAGAGGAAAAGCAGAGCCATTTAGTGATTCATGAATTTAAACTTCATGTTTTGTTTCCATTTTACTAGTTAAATTATATCATAAATATTTGACCAAATAACAGCTCACACCTCCACAAAAATATTATTGCATAGAAAATTTTATGTTTTCATACTTAAATACCATTTATTCTCAAGATTCTTAGAAGTTGTTTAATCTCACTCTTCCAGAGAAAACCACATTGTAGCAGAGTTGGTTTTTGAAACAAACCAACTAACAGTAACAGATTCAAACAGGATATAATATTAGAACAACCTATTATACTTGTCCATAATCAGTAATGCACTGAGGATAATTCTCAGTTAACAGAGTATTTGTCTAGCATCATGATGCAAGGCTCAATCCCCCACACTACTAAAGTATTAAAAGAAAAAGAATCTACAATGTAAAACTAAGTACATTTAAAATGGCAACCCTCTGAAATTTTTATCCTAGAATTTAAAGTCCATATAATAGGCCCAAGGGTAGAAATTTATACTTATTTAACTTAAGCTGTTATAAGCTGAAATCATTTAGTTACTAAATATTGTAAAATAATATACAATGCTTATGAATACATATAACATATGAATTCTCATCTTTGTCTTATCTAGTGAAACCTTTATCTAATGTATACATTTATTAAATGCTGAACTGTAGAACACTTACAATAAAAGTAACCTTTTATTACAAAGTATTTATTACCTACATTAAACAGCATCTGCCTTAATTTCTCAGACTCATTTCCACATGAATTTTTATTATACATAAAAGGTGGAAAGAAAGGAAATAATGCACAAAAGTATCAACAAGACACATGACATCATATAGACAAACATAATCATCAAAGCATGGTTTATTAGGGGAAAACTCAAATGGTGTAACTCGTTAGAAAAACTCACAATCCAACAAATGAGTAACATACACTTGAGATGTGTGGAGGGAGGTCAAATGAATGAAGAGAGGAAGGGTTGGGCAGAATGCAGTCATAATATTCAATTAATACCCTATGAAACTAGGAAAACTGATGAGAGAGATGAGATTTAAAGGATGAGGAAGAATGATAAAAGAGATAATAACAATCAAGATGAATTGTACTTATAAACTAATGTGTTGTAAACTGAAGAGTTGTAACCCCTTTGTATAACCACTTAACAGATCACAATATTTTTTTAAAGAGTTACACTATCTTTCTCAACGAACATATACTAGTCAGTATCAAGAAGCTTCCTGAAATAACCAAGCGCAATATGTTTTCCAAAAATTAAAAAATAAAACCTTTCTATTAAAATTACCAATAAGGAAACAGTTTATTATATACTCAATTTATAGAACCAATATTTACTGATTGTCTAATAAACAGCAAGCACTATGGCAGGTAACCAAGACTATAAAAGAATATACAGTCCCTATTTTCATGGTAACTATGGGGTCATAAAGAAGATGAAGCCTGAGCCAGGTGCCAGTGGCTCACGCCCGTAATCCTAGCTACTCAGGAGGCTGAGATCTGAGGATTGCTGTTCAAAGCCAGGCCAGGCAAGAAAGTCCGTGAGACTCTTATCTACAATAAACTACTAGAAAACCAGAAGTGGCACTGTAGCTCAAGCAGTAGAGCACTCGCCTTGAGCTGAAGAGTGCAGGGACAGCGCCCAAGCCCAGAGTTCAAGCCCCACAACCGACCAAAAAAAGAAAAAAGAAATGAAGCCTGATCAGATAATCTTACTAGTGAGTACATAAAAACCAACTGGTATTAACACTATGAAAAAGAAACATAGCATTATGATAGTGTATCATTAAAAAAAAAAAATCTGTTCTCTCCCAACCCCATACTTTGTCCTTCTATAAAAAACAAAATCAAAATCTTATCTAAAGCCCAACCCTAAATGTGTTCTCTCTCCACACTAAAGCCTATTTCAACTGTTTTCTCCACAGACTTTGTCCCTAAGAATTCTATACTTGGTCTTTCATTCAACATTTGGCCCAAAGTATTCTCTATATCCTGTGTAGTTCCAGCTAAGACTACACCTTGTAAAATTACTATGTTCCAAGTCCATTTCATAAAGTTAAATTGCTAAGTAGACTAAAAAGTACTCTGTCTAAACTTAACATTCACCAATTCAGATTAATCAACAATTCTGAAATGAGTATAATCAATATCTGTTAAACTTAAATTTAGAAACTTTTTCATATCTTTTTGTTCCTCAAAACTTCATTTATATTCTAACACAATCTTGACCTTCATCAAAAAAAGCTTTTGAGAGAAAATAGACCATAAAAATATATTACATGTAGACATAATACCACACCATACAAAGCACCTATTCTCTAAAATTATGTGAAATGCTATTTGGTTTTTCTCTATTCTTCCTAATGTACTGTCTTTTACCTATATCAAATCCTTTAAATACCTAAAAGAAATCCAATAAATGTTAAACTAATCAAAGAAAATTCAACATACCTCACTACAAATGCAGCAAATCTCTAATAGCATTTGCTCCAAAAACTCCTGCAGAAAAGTTTTTTAAAAGTAAAAAGGTACCTTTTATAGAGTACCATATTGTAAATGGGGTGTATTTCAGAAACACAGATTATGTAAATATATATTAATAAGCTTAAAAAGCACATGATATAGATAACTAAAAAACAGCTGAATGATAAGCAATAATTTCAAATAACAAAATCACAAAAATATTTTCTTCCCTGAATGTTGTTCATTTTGGCCAGCAGTTTTATTGCTAGACATATAAATAAATAACAACATTATCTACCTAAAATATATTCTGAGAAACTTACCATCACTTTGGCTCTTGCCCTTCATTTCATCTTTCCAAGATAGAATGGTGTTCAGGGGAACATAGTCTCTTAGGTATTCTTTGCGTCTGTCCTCTAAGGTCATCTTCAGTAAACGTTCTTGCAAAATAAAAGCATAATCTCCATTTGTATTGAACTTTTAAGCTTAAGAATTATCTTATATTCTAAATTATGTTAGACCAAAGACTTGATGCCTTTTTGAAGAATATTATAATGTAAATACATGATTTCACATTTGAGAGTTAAAAGGTGTCAAATTAATCCCATATTATCAAGAAAAACTAAACCAAACATGATGAAGACTTTTATGATAGTCCAGAAAATAAGGAAACTCATTTGTTCTTTCAATTAACATCATTGATATCTTACTATATGAAAGATGATATGTTTATAGACTGCAGGAACAAAGGTGACCCTTCATCTTGAGTTTGCAGAAAAAATAAGAGGGAATGGATGAGACAGAAAATAATGTCTATATAAAAAAAATACAAGTGCTAGGACAGATAGTTTCAGCAGTACAAATAAGTGTGAGCACAGAAACATACCTACCAAGATAGTGCCTCAGTTCTACAAGGCCATCAACAATGAAAGTATAGTTTCAACTCAGTAATTACTTTGTAGTGGTGATTTTTTAAAAATTACTTTAAATATATACTTCTTAGAAAGCATAAAGCTTTGATTTCAAGTTCTAGTCTTGACAAATAAAAAAAATACATGAGAAAGTAAATCTGTGGCTTAAATAGTAGACAACCAACCTGGCACAAAAAAGTGAGGCCCTGAGTTCAAGCCTCAGTACTGGGGAAAAAAATAATTAATTAAATAAATACACATATTCATACACACATACACACACACACCTCAATAAAAAGCTTAAACTATAAAAATAATTGCATCACAAATTACTAATTGTGAATGTCATTAATAAAGAACTCCCCATCTAACCAGGTGCTTCAAAGTATGATCTCAATGGAATAATCTGTTACAACTCATGATTTGTAATGGATAAGTAGAATTTTGCCATGAGTCAGTAAAATGTAAGAATATTTTAATAGAACATTATTAACAAAGATAAGGAAACGTGTTTAGTTTGATGAAACTGTAATATATGTGGAGTGAAGGTTTCACAGAAATGAAATATCTGAGAACATGATAAATCAATATTGTCCAGGGACTTGTGTGCCATCACAAGCAGTTTAGCCTTTAGCCTATAAAGTAGACCACTATATTCATAGGTACACTCTAGTAGGTATATAAAATGGTCTAATAACATACAGAAAAAAGAGAAAGTTCTGCATGTTTTTTAACCTAAAAAAAATAAGGAAGAACTAGCCAGGGGCCCCTGTTCATGCCTATAATCCAGTCCCAAAATAAAAAATAACCAACAAAAAACAGGGATGGAGCCATGGCTCAAGTTGTAGAGAGTCAGCCTGACAGCCTGAGGGGTGATATAAATCAAGATGCACTGTACTTATTTGTTGAATGGTAACCTTTATACAACTACTTAAAGATAATATAAATATATTTTTAAAAATAGATGGATTTAAGAATAAAATATACATTATGAAAATCCAACATTCACAAAATAATAACTTCAAAAGAGATTTCCAAGCTGGGCAGATGGTATGTATTTCAAGCCTGGCATTGTAGTGTATACCTCTAAGTCCAACTGAGGCTTAAGTGGAAGAATCACTTCAGCCCAGAAGTTCAAGACCAGCCTAAACAACAAAGCAAAAAAAAAAAATCAGCATTTTTTTCCTACTGCTACAACTAATCTTTCTTCAACATTATGATATTTTAAAGAGAAAGAGACAGACAGACAGACATACCTATTCAATTTAAAATCACATTACTCAAGGGCCAACAAATTGAATTTAAGTTGTCTGCGGTACATACAAGAAAAGTGAAATCAAGAACTTAATACGGTCTAGCATAAATATTTTGGAAATCATAACCTAAATTTCTGGTTCTAAAAGAAAAAAGGACAGATGAGAGGAAAAACAAAAAAAAGATTAAACTTCAAAAATAAAGTATTTAGGTTAGCAGGCAGAAAGAGAACAATGAAATAAAACCCAGTTGTCAATGGGGTTATCAGGTTCTTGTGAAATGAGAAAAAACAAGGAAAAGAGTTTTAGTAAATACAAGGAAGGGAAATATTGCCAATAGTTACAGGAAAGCTGGAAAGAATAAATATTACATTATAAAACCCATCGTTTTTATCAACTGGGTTATCTACACTACTGTTACGAAAGCAAGCTAGGCGCCAGTAGCCCAAACCTACAAAACTAGCTACTCAGGAGGCTGAGATCTGAGAATTGTGGAATTGTGGTTCAAACTAGCCTAGGCAGAAAAGTCCCTGTGAAACTCTTATCTCCCAGTTACCCACAACAAAACAAGAAGTGGCACTGTGGAGCAAAGTGGTAGAGGACTACTCATGAGTAAAAGAGCTCAGGAAAAGTCTTTGGCTCTGAGTTTAGCCCCACAGCTGACCAAAAAAAAGAAGTACCCTCAGCTCATGCTTGCAATTCTAGTCACTTAGGAGGTAAAAATTGTAAAGGTAGAGGTTTAAAGCTAGCTAGAACAAAAAGTTTAAAAAAAAACATATTTCAAGCAATATGGAAGCAAAATGGTACATGTTTGTAATCCCAGTTGTAGCAAGAAGTATAAACAGAAGAATCAAAGTCCAGAATGGCTCAGGCAAAAAGCAAGAAACATCTAAAAAATAACCAGAGCAAAAAGGGCTGGAGGGGGGCTGGGAAGGTGGCTCAGTGGTAGAGCGCTTGCCTTGCATGCGTGAGGCCCTGGGTTCGATTCCTCAGCACCACATAAGCAGAAAAAAAAAAGCAGGAAGTGGCGCTGTAGCTCAAGTGGTAGAGCGCTAGCCTTGAGCTGAAGAGCTAAGGGACAGCGCCCAGGCCCAGAGTTCAGGCCCCATGACCGAACCCAAAAAAAAATTTTTTAAAGGGCTGGAGGCATGACACAAGTGGTAAAGTACCTGAATTCAAACCAGAGAAAGAAAAAGAAAAAAAAAAAACAAAGGAAGTAAAAGTTGTAAATGAAGGGACTTAGGAAAATAGGTCAAATAATTTACCTAAAGTACCACACCTTGTATGCATGATACTCAGATTCAAATGTAAGCAACTGTATTCCAGTTCTTGACCCTATACTATCCCCATGCACCTTCTCATCTCATAGTTGTGAGAATCAAAATGTAAGACACTAAAAATAGTACTGAGCACACAAATAGTATTTATATTATAACTATTCTTAGTTATATTAGTCCAATTTTCATTATTGCTGAATGGCCTTAGGACCTTAGTTTTATTACAATATAACTGAGACTATGAGAGATTGAACAAAAGGAAAAAAGTGAGAATTACAACTCTACCATGAAGCCTTTTGGAAGAAAAGCTACTTTAAGGTAGACAACCCTTGAGCCTAATCACAGGTAGTATAAAAGAACTGACATACACATATAAAAGAACTGACATACATAGAGATTACACACACCTAAGATTGACTAAATGATAGCACAGATCTCAAAGAATAGAAGAGATAAGCTAATGTGTACAAGCTGTCCAGTTAATCTCAGAAACAAAGAATAAACAGGAACAAAACCTAAAAAAATAGACCCATAAAACCATGAAGGACTTATTTTAGGGCTCTTCACTTTATATGTCATTTATGTTCTTCGTGAATTTAAAGGCAATCTCATCTATTTATTATCAGGAGATAGGGTCTTGGTGAAATGTTAGATTTGAATTATCACATGAAGACTGAAGAGGAAATTATTATCAGATGCCTTAGCACCAATTTGAAAGCTAAAATCAGAGGAAAGAATGAAGGGGTGACATTATACAAAAAGAAATGTACTCATTACCTGACTTATGAAATAGTAACCCCTCCGTACATGCCTTTTTAATAACAATAAAGTTTTTAAAGCTCAAAACACTACTGCAAAATCATTACAGTATCAGTGATCAGATTGAAAGATGTCTAAGACAACTTTTTCTAAATGTCAGAGGATACATATAGAAATGATACCTGGCCTCTTGTCATTCTATTTATTTAAAAGTTCAAGTGTAAAAACTTAGAACAAAACCAGGGTCAAATATAAAAAAGAGGTAAGTTACAATATTTGAACTCAAAATATATATTGAACAGTTCTGAATTACAGCTCAAAATATTAGATTAATAATGTAAGGTATATGTTCTTGAAAACTCTGAAGATCCAGGAGATATGTGCTTGTGTGTGTGTGTGTGTGTGTGTGTGTGTGTGTGTGTGTTTACAAAAAATTTTAGAGAATGCTTTACATAAAGGTGAATGAATTCTTTTTCTGTGAACCAAGCATATAATCCAAGAGATCTACTTACTAGATGATATACAGAGTTAAAATATGTTTCTAGAATGCCTTGACATTTCAATGAAGTGGGTAAGACTTCCTGTAGACTTAAATAACAGCTGCAAAAATACTATGCTATCAACTCTCCAGTGGGATGAAAGGAAAAAGGTCAGGCATCCCAGCTTCTCTGCTATACTAGAAATCCTTAGCTCCTTTTTGGTGGAATAATACATGTTATTTTATACTTAAACAATCCAAAAAGACATACTGACAAAACAGAAGACATACTTTAAAGTATCACATCATAACTTTTCCCCTTACCTTTAAACTTCCTGCAAAGATAGCCTAGCTTAGAAAAATGAAAATTATTTTGTTAGCCTTCTTCTCTGTACATTTGCTTCTATATGTAAAAAAATAAAATAAAATAAAATTCACCAGGCACTGGTGAATCATGCCTAGCTACTCAGGAGGCAGAAATCTGAGGATTGCAGTTCAAAGCCAGTCCAGGCACGAAAGTCCACTAGACTCTTATCTCTAATAAACCATTAGAAAACCAGAAGTGGTACTGTGGCTCAAGAGACAGAGCGCTAGCCTTGAGCTGAACAGCTGCTGGACAGCACCCAGGCCCAGAGTTCCAGCACCACAACCGACAAAAATAATTAAATAAGTAAATAAAATAAGATAAAATAAAATTCACTTTTATTTCCCATTAGAAGAAAGTGAAAGACAAAAAAAATCAAGACATTAAAAAGCTTCTGAAATGCCTGCCTATCACACAGTACAATTGTGCAGATGTTCAATGAAGTAACCATTATAACATTGTTACTTAAGGAACACAGTTTTTCTAATATAACAGAAAAAAATAGTTCTTAAGTACTATAATTTCATCAATGACTTGTTATCAAAAACAATATCTTCCACTATTTTGTCTTCGTTATCATCAATAATACAAAACTAACACTTCAAAATCATCAATAAAAATGGGTACAATTTCTTTCAATGTTAAGGTAAAGCCTTATTGAAAAATGTATCAAAATTGAAGCAATTGCTGCTGTAAAAATAAAGCAAACTTATTTTACAGTACTTCATAGATCAGACAGTGCTGAACTTTTTTTTTTCCTCCAAGTGCTAATGATCTAAGCCAAGCCTTCCTAAATGTTAGGCAAATGCTTTTTACCACTCTCTACAAGGCTAAGCTTAAGGTTTTCTTAACAGCATTTTTTGACACCAAACTTTTTAGTCCTCCATATATTCATAATTAAAATATAATTAATTTTCTTTGTTGATGTTTTTCTTTTCTTTTTGTCTTGTTTGCTCAGTTATGTCTTTGGGAGGGTAAGTGGGAAGCACAGAAATGGAGTGATGAATGGTAAACAAATACAGCAGTGGTATCCATTCACTGTTGAAAGTAAAGTATACAACTTGTGAATACGGATGGAAGAGAAAAAAAACTGGGAGAGTGCATGGGAAGAGGTGACACTGTACAAAAAGAAATGAATTCTTTACCTGACTATGTAACTGTAATTCTTCTAAAATGACAATAAAAAATTTTAATTTTAAAAATTAAAAATTGCCTGGGAATGTGGCTTAGAGGTAGAGTCCTTGCCTAGCATTCATGAAGCCCTGGGTTCAATCCTCAGTACCACAATAAGCAGATAGAGCCGGAAGTGGTGCTGTGGTTCAAGGGGTAGAATGCTAGCCATGATCAAAAGAAGCTCAGGGACAGTGCCCAGGCCCTTAGTTCAAGCCCCAGGACTGGCAAAAAAAAAAAAAATTAAAAGAACACACACATATATATACACATATATGTGTGTGTGTGTGTGTATAAGTATATGACACATAAACTACACTTTCAATATGTTAAAGGCTACTTTAGTTATGTGTACAGGTAGATTAAATCTTCCTGGTAGCTAAAATTTCTTTTCACCCCTTTTCTGGTGCACTGTTAGAAGTATAACCTATCAATATAAAGGGTCCTTTTAGAGTTCCTTTCTTAACTCCACTATATAATATTCCTGGCCATAATGTTCCTAAAGGCCAGGACCTGTAATAACAAAAAAAAAAAAAGCTGCAGGTTTAAAAAAGTTATTAGCATGGTTCAAAAAGAAATGTACTTATTACCTGACTTATGTAAGTGTAACCTCTCTATATATCTCCTCTACAATAACAATTTTTAAAACTCTTTTTAAAAAAGTTATTAGCAGCTGTACATGGTGATGCACACCTGTAATCCAAGGAGGCTGAATCATGAGGATCCCAAGTTTGAAGCCACCCTGTGCTACATAGTGAGGAATATAAGAAGAAAAAAGCTCTAAGGGTATTAACAAGAGATATTTAGAAGAACTTTTAACTAACTGTACTCCATTTCATCCTGCATAGACAGGTTAAGTAGATCTTAGCAGTAGCAATGTAAATGCTTTTTCTATATTTCTGTTACACACACACACACACAAGTAAAGCATGAAAGGAAAAAGATGTAAAAAGGAGAGGGGCAAAAAAAAAGCCAGATTGAAGATTTACATCAGATTATCATCTGTGTCACAGATAACAGAGAGAGAAAAGAAAGCAGGCAAGGAGGGGTGGGGGACGGAATCTCACAGAGTCATGGGTATGGTTGTCTATCTGATTTGGATACGCCTTTGGGATGCACACATTCAGAGAAGGGTTTCCTTCGCGGTGACACTCCATCTTACTCCGAGCAACTTCGGACTATGGGAATGGGGAAGGCTCCCATCAGCTGGGATGGACAGGCAGCTCCCTGTAGGTTTCCCCTAGAGTTGCACATTTCAAAAGTCACCCTGCAGCTAAGGAAGAGGGGAGGGGGCCCCGCTGGGGGAGGGGGAGGAAGGACTAAGGAGTAAACACCCGCAAAATAGGAACCCTCTGCCAGTGTGCGGTAATAGAGGGAGGACAGAGATGAGAAGGAAAGAAGGAATGATGCGGGGAGCTCCCGAGGCACCGTAGCAGCCGCAGCCGGAGTGCATATTTGTCTCTGGGACACCCCAGCCCGGGGAATGTCAAAGTCCCAGCTGGGGTGCTGGGGAACTAAGACACACACACACACACACACACACAGACACACACACACACACACACACACACACACACACACCCCTCGGCCGGGGCACAGGGCGCAGGGCTGGGCTGCCGTCGGTCCCACGGCGTGTGCCAGGCAGAAGGTGACCGGGGTGGGGGCGAGGGGGGTGGAGGAGAGGGGTGTGCGCCCCCACGTGCGCGGGCCGCAGGTGCCCGGGGACGCCGCGTGCACGCCGGCGTGAGAGTGAGTGTGTGCACGCGTGTGTGTGTGCACGCGTGTGCGCACGGGCACGGG